GTGTAACTAAGCTTTGAAATGCTAAAAATTCTTAGTTTTTGTTTTCCACTTGCTGCTTTCAAGGTCGGAGAATTTGTCCACCGCTGAAAAACCCAAAGTATGGTCTCATTTACGGCGGTGAGTTTTGGGAAGGAAAGCAAGTTTCATATACTTGTAAGCCTGGTTTTGGACTGATAGGACCACTGCAACGTCGCTGCTTGATGAACGGTTCATGGACTGGAAGTCAGCCTGAATGTAATGCCGTGTCGGGTAACAAAACTATTGTTTTTTTTTTCCCAGAACAATTTTGGGTGGTATCTCGTAAATTTTTCAAAGCAGACTTAACCGTTACATAACTGCATGAAAAAATTCCTTAAAATCACAAGTGAATAACAAGGACTCCTTGCTATGATGCAATAAGGGTGGCTAGATGAGCCCAGAGTCCCTTGCATGCAATGTTTTCATAATTTTGCAATATTTGGTAATCAGTGGATGATCTCTTACGTAATATATTAGATAAGATAAGAATATAGGTTATTAATTTTATTATGAACAAGTTCTGGCCCTTAAGAATGGTTCCTGTTTAGTTTTATTGCTACAGCCCTGTTTCGTATCGCCAAAGAGTGATCGACCATACCAAGATAGTAAGATGCTATACTAATCATAAAACCTAAACAAGTAAACAAAAAAAATGACAAATGTAAATTATAGACTTTATAAAAACAGACCTTTTTAAAAGGTTTTATCAAACAAGAAATATTTTTTTACCTTTTGTCAGCGCTTTGGAAGGCCTCAGCTATAATAGCAGGCAATCTGTATTACTACAGCAACCTACATCAGTTTCTGAAACCTGCGGCTGGAAGTCATCCTCAGTGGCTGCTGTGTTACCGTGCCTCTACTCACGGTTGGTCGGTCAGTACTTTCCACAACAGGTGTGATGGGAAACCTAACACAGTAACTATCGTAAAAGCAGGGCAGTACGTGTTTGGAGGATACACTGACATTCCATGGGGTAAATATTTATTATATGTCAACTTTATGTCTTTGTTGGTGTTTGCTTTCTTTTGTGTTTTTGTATTTTGCCTTTTGCGTTGTTCTGTTTAATGTAAAAGATAAAAATAAAAAATGATCGAAATAAGGAGACTTCATGAACAGTATGAATGGCCCGGTGGCCTGATGGTTAGTGCGCTGGTCTGCGGGCCAAGAAGTCTGGGCTCGCCCTAAAACACAACTCGAGTTGTGTTTTTGGGCAAATCAATTTACTATACTCTCGCATCGTCTCTTTCCTCTCAGGAGTATAAATAGGTACCGACGAACTATCTGGGAAATCGTAAGAAATGCCAGGGGAACGGGTAACCTTTCGATAGATATTCCATCCAGGGGGGAGTAGTAAAGCTTCCAGTTGCTTTATGCAGAGAATACCGGGATAAGCCCCGGAATAGATGAGCTGCTTGGCTCGAATACAAACTATACATGCCTACCCTACACTAGGCTTGAAGCAAAAGGCATGAGAAATAATGTTCGCATGAGATATTTTGATTAAAAAAAAACAAAAACAAACAAACAAACAAACAAAAACAAAAGAACAAAATCAGCACATATCTTAACACTAGTGAGAAAAATAACAATGCCTGATTTGGAAGCTTA